CCCCAAAACCCCAAAACCCCAAAACCCCAAAACCCCAAAACCCCAAAACCCCAAAACCCCAAAACCCCATTTTGAATTTTAGTGGCTGAAAAAGAGTGTCCAAAAAATAATAAAGTAATTAGATAAATGGAAGAAACAAAAACTGAACCAAAAGGTAACTCAAGAAGAGACTTCTTGAGGAAGATCGAAACTGAGATGCAAGCTATCTGGGATGAAAAGAAGGTTAACCAAGCTGACGCACCAGAGGATTATAGCTCCATGAGCTTTGAAGAGAAGAACAAAGGCAAGTTCTTTAATACCTTCCCATATCCATACACTAATGGAAGGCTACATCTTGGTCATGCTTATTCTTCTTCGAAGAATGAGTTTGCAACAAGGTTTGAGAAGATGAGAGGGAAGAGAGTGCTGTTCCCATTCTCGTTCCATTGCACGGGAATGCCAATAGCAGCAGCTGCCAAGAGATTGGTGCTTGAGAAGAAGTTTGCTGAAGAAGAAAAATCAGCAAAAGTAGACAAATCAAAGACACAGAGAGGTATCCTTGAAAGTATGGGAGTTCCAGAGGACGAGATTGATAACTTTGAAGATCCTGAGTACTGGCTTGACTACTTCACACCTAAGGGAAGAGCTGATCTTCAGGTGCTTGGACTCAATACTGATTGGAGAAGATCTTTCATCACCACTCCTAAGAATCCTTACTATGATTCGTTTATTAGATGGCAATTCAATTTGTTGAAAGCCAGAGACAAGGTTGTTTTCGGTAAGAGACCAGCTGTGTACTCAGTTCTTGACGGACAGCCTTGTGCTGATCATGATAGATCTCAGGGTGAAGGTGCTGTCCCACAAGAATATACCGCAGTTAAACTCAGAGTCATCGAGCTACCAGAAGAACTCAAAGAATATGAAGACAAAGACTTGTTCTTGATTGCAGCCACATTGAGACCAGAAACAATGTATGGCCAGACCAACTGCTTTGTGCTACCAGATGGAAACTATGGAATATTCAAGATGCCAGGTGACCAATACTTCATCATGGCTGAGAGAGCCGCCAAGAACATGGCTTATCAGGATCTCACTGAAGAATTTGGTAAATATGAACAAGTTGGCAAAGTCAAGGGATCTGTGTTGATCGGAACCCCACTGAAAGCTCCATTGTCAAAATTTGAGAAGATCTACACTCTTCCATTGCTGACCATCTCAATGAACAAGGGTACTGGAGTTGTGACTTCAGTCCCATCAGACTCCCCAACAGATTATGCCACTTTGATGGAGTACAAAAACAAAGCTGACGTTAGAAAGAAGCTAAAGGTTGAGGAAGAGTGGGTCAAGGACTATGAGCCATTCCCAATCATTACTATTCCTGGTGAAGAATCTAAAGAAGAAGGTAAAGAGGCTTTGTCAGAGCCGATTGACATGATAGCTGTGGACTTGTGCAAGAAAATGAAAATTAAAAGCCAGAAAGATGTAAAGAAGCTTGAAGAGGCCAAGGATATTGCTTATAAGAAGGGATTTAACCAAGGAGTCTTTTCGTATGGAGACTTCATTGGAGAAAAGGTCTCTGTCGCAAAGGATAAGGTTAAGGACATGCTTGTTGAGACTGGAGATGCTCTTATTTACTTCGAGCCTGATAAGAAGGTTATCTCAAGAAGTAAGGATGAATGCATTGTTGCTAAAGTTGACCAATGGCTTTTGAAATATGGAGAAGAAGATTGGAAGAACTTTATTAAGGAGCATGTCACATCTGACAACTTCAATGCTTATACAAAGACTACACAAAAGTCATTCGAAGATATCATCGAGTGGTTGAAGCAGTGGGGATTCTCAAGAACTTTTGGTCTTGGAACCAAGGTCCCATGGGATGAGCAATATGTAATCGAGTCACTCTCTGACTCTACTATTTACATGGCCTACTACACAGTTGCTCACTTGATTCAGGGAGGTGTTATGGATGGAAACACTCCAGGACCTCTCGGAGCTAAACCTGAAGACTTCAACGATGCTGTGTGGAGCTACATTTTCCTGGATGGAGAATATCCAGAAGGATGTACTATTGCTCAAGACAAGCTTGAATTACTGAAAAACGAGTTCAATTACTGGTACCCAATGGACTTGAGATGCTCAGGAAAAGACTTGATCGGAAACCACTTGGTGATGTGCTTGTATAACCACGCTGCCATCTGGGAGAAGAAAGAAATGATGCCAAGAAGCATGTTCTGTAATGGATATATGCTTCTTAATGATGCTCCAATGTCTAAGAGTGCAGGAAACTTTATGACAATTATTGACTCCTGTCATAACTACTCTGCATCAGCGACCAGAATGACCCTTGCTGATGCTGGAGATACTCTTGATGATGGTAACTTCAGAGAAACTGTAGCAAATGCTTCAATCATGAAGCAATTCGTTCTTGGAAAATGGATCACCGAAGAAATTTCCAAAATCAACCTTGAAGAGCTTGACTGGGAGAAATATGGCGAAGACTTTGACAAGTATGACAAGTTCTTTGAGAACGAAATGAACAGAATTATCGAGAAAACCTACCAAATGTACCACGAAATGAAGTACAAGCTAGCTCTTAAATTCGGATTCCATGAACTACAAGGAATGAGAGATGATTATGTTTTGTTTAAAAAGGATACGTTGAATCCTCACTTGGTACTGAAATTCATTGAAGTCCAACTGTTGATGGTGTTGCCAATCATCCCTCACTTCTGTGAGTACTACTACCAGAAAGAGTTCTTGCCAGCAATCTTGAAGACGCAGAACCACAGAGAATACCCAGAGCTGATCGTGAACTGCAGATGGCCAGAGAAGACTGCTGATTATGATATCAACCAGGGGAAGATCTTTAACTTCATTAAGTTCTGCAAGCACGATTTCATTGTGATGCAAGATAAGATGACCGGATTCAGGAAACAACAGAAGCAAAAGCAAAAGAAGGGCAAGAAAGCCCAAGAGGAGAAACCAGAAGAGACAGTAGAGAAGAAGACTTATGATAACTGTATTGTATTCTACGCAAAGACATATCCAGAAGAGCAAAAGATAGCCATCAACGCCTTGCATGAGATTGGATATGATGACGAATGGAACCTGAAGGAGAAACCAATCGCTCAGTTGAAGGCCCAGTTTAAGGACAAGAAGTCTCTAGGAAAGGCTATGAAGTTTGCTGCCTTCTTGAGTGATGAGGTCAAAGAGAAAGGATCCCTAGATCCTCTTGACTTGGAGATGCCATTTAATGAGAAGGAGATTATTGAAGAGAATGCTGACTTCATCTTCGACAAGATCACTGCTACCAATATTGAGTACAGAGAGAAGGAAGAGGGATGAGATATTGAAGGATCAGCCAACAGTATTTCTGCTGCTGTACCAGGAAAGCCATCGGTATTCTTCTATTAAGCCAAGTTTATGCTTAATTCAATCATATTAATTTATTCCGGGGTTTTGGGGTTTTGGGGTTTTGGGGTTTTGGGGG